TCAGAAAAACCTGTCCTTTCTTCCTGTGGGTAGGGAGATTTTTGAAAGATCCAGGCCAGCTCCATGGGACTCAGCCTTGGTCTTACTTCCTATTGTTCCACATTCACCTTGGACTCCATTTATAGTGACTAAATTTGTACCATGTTTCTGAAACAAAGTCTCTGCCCAGTACTGGGAATTAGACCCCAGCCTTATGTTCAGTGCCTCAAACCTGCGAACCTGCCTATTCTTTCATCCACTGAGGATGTGGCTTCTTCTTAGTCTTTGCCGGTCAATCCCTTAAACTCCCAGAGAGATCACAGTTACACTCCTAAAAGAACCAACTAGCCAAACACTTCTGCCACCTGCAGACAGACTTCCCAGACCAGCAACTATTTCCTCTTCAAGGATCTCCTTTCCATGCTCTGCCTGTCTGTCCAGACCTGGTCATTCTCAGGGTTTTATCCTTTGACCACAGTTCCTTCGGTCACACCTCCAATCCATCTTTGTCTGCCCTTACTTTTTCCCCCCTAACCTACTAGCTCTTCATTAAAATCAGTGAACATTTACCCATGTGATTTCTTCCCTGAACCCTGCAATAAATCCCTTGATCTATTTTCCTATTCCTTTGCTTGCTCCAATTTCTTGTTCCTATTTATGCTTTTATTTAAAGCATAAATAAGATCGTGTCACTTCTCTACTTAAAACCTTCTAGTAGCTTCCAGTTGTACTTGGAATGAAATTCCTCCTCCTCACTAGGTACAGTCTCCAAGGCTCTACAAATTTTGAACCCAGAACAACTTTCCAGCCAAATCTTAGATCACCATCATCCTCTTCATGGCTCACTGTTCTTCTCGCTGTGCTTCAAAAATACCAGCTCATTGCCACATCATGGCCTTGACATACACGCTTCTCTGTGCTTGGAACTGTCTCAACCAGATAACCCCTACTCTGCCTTCAAGTCTGAGCTGCGATCACACTTCCTCAGGCATGCCTTTCCTAGCCGTCCATCTAAGGCAGGTCTCACCTGTTTTTCTCTCCTAAAGCACCCAGTTCTATGCCTTCATATCCCTCATAATGTCTTGTTATTACATATTTATTCATGTTTCTATCTCTGAATTTTAGTATAACAAAAAGACTGATTTTCCCATTTGAAGGAGAGTAAATCAGGTATTTTTTTACTTTACATAAAGGACCCTTCACCCAGAAACAAAGATTCACTTAGTAAAAATAAAACCATGAGCAAGTTTTTATGTCCTCCTTGGCCCTCTCAAGATCCAGTTGAAGGAAAAGGAAAAACCTTTAACCACACAGGGGAGTTGAGTTTCTGTTTCTTACCATGCCTCGCAGGTGCCCACTGATGGGTGATCACCATGCAAGAGCTGCAGAACTCAGAAAGCCAGGACCTTTCTGATCTAACCAGAGAAGGAATAAAATTTCTATAAGCAGATCCCAGCAGATGCAACCGGTGTGTGTTATGTACACTGTCTGTCTGGGCCTCCTCCCGATAGGTCACTGGTGTAGTCATGACTCTTACCAGGAGTAAGGTGACTACAAAAGCAGTTCATACAACCTAACCAGGTTTTTAGGGAGTAGATTGGTTACCCTAGCCATCCTACCACATTAAGAATAGCCAAGATATCAGGAGAGGGACACCTTCATCAATTTAACTCACTAATTCATTTAAAACAGCTGAAAGCCAGTTACTCATCCGCCTTTTCAAACACATCATTGCCTCCTAAAATCATACCACTTAACTATAATCAAGTTATATCAGCCAGTTTTACTCAGTCTAGGGAATAGTTTGGTGACCAAAGAAAGAATATGGGATTACAAAATAGTGTTAGCTTGAATAGGCTTAGGACTGTCCAAAGGTCCTCTTACCAAGATTCACCTAATTGAGAGTAAGCTTCACAGATATTAGGAATCATGTCAGTTTCATTCATCATTCATAGTCATCCTCAGTAAATGGCACAGTGTCTAGTCCATAGTAGGTTCTCAATAAACATGAGTTAAATGAATGATTAATTAATTAAAGGCTCTTCACCTCCACACTCCAACTCATCCTTTGGGTCTCAGGTTTATAGAACTCCATCAGGAATATTTTCCCTTATCCTTCAGTCTAGTCCAGAATCTCCTATGAGCTCTGCTTCAGAACACTAGTCACAACACTAATTATTTTTGTGATTGTTTAATGTCTGTCTTCTCCACAAGAGTCTGCTTATGTATCTACAGCATCTAGAGCAATACTTGCCACACGATAAGCACTCAACACAAATTTGCTGAATATTTTAATAACTGTGCTACTTTGTTAATAATTAAACTTCATTAGAAGTTTCTGTGCTTCTCAGTCAGAGCAAAGTAAACTTTTCAATTCCAAAGTTGAAGAAAGTAAGAGGTAAGGGACCTTCCTGAGTCCCTATTACCACTGATGGTAATGAATCTCAGGGGAAGCACAAGATTCTGCAAGAGAAGAGAATCTTGGTTAAGTTTGAGCAGTGCCTCTTGTGCGTCTCTGCGTTTCCATGGAAACCAAAGAGAACCTTAAGCAGCCCAGGCCTGATACCAGCTCCACAGAGACAAGAAGCCTACCATGAATAGTTTACCCCAGAATCCTCTACAGGCATCATGTTCCTAAATGGCAGGTACCTCTTAAGCCCAACTGAAGATGAGTCATATGAATCTACATCAATTGATATCTGTCTCTGCCTTAATATAGGAGAAATGGAAGAATAATTAATTAGGTTTCAACATCCATTTCCCCCGAAACGTGATCCAGCAGTGATAATGATGGGGCAGGAACAATAGAAGCATCCTGAGAAACTGGTGAGTCCAGAAGATCTGGAGAATACCCCAGGACAGTTCATTTCTGAGGACACCTGGAGCTATGCCACTGACAACAGTTTCAGGGAGCATTTTTTAGGGAGATAAGTTGTTGGAAAACATGGAGGTTTAGGATACATGCAGTACAACAGGATAGGACCTGCCTATGTCCATGACCTGCAGACCATGTTACAGCTCTGGAGCTTACTTCACTTTCAATCTCTGGAAATCCCCCAGGAAGTATTGTCCTCCGGCAACACTGCAGAGCCAGGAGCTCCCTCTGAAAACCAGGAGTCTCCGCCATCAGAACTGCCTTGAAGACAATTGAGTACCTCACTGAGGAGATGGTGATATAAGTTGCATTGGTGCAGGGGAATCTGATTACTCTGGACACTCTGCCTAGAAAACTATTCACCTGTTTTTGGGTGTCCACTGGCAGACTGTGGCACAGCTGACTTACTTCGTTTTTTTCATCATTCTCAATATCCTGACTCAGATCAAGCCGGTAAATCACAGAATCTCTAAGGCTTTTTCTCACCATTTTCTTGGGCAGCCATTTGTTTCCCCTTTGTCTCTTCTGAACTGTTATACTCAACTCTTAACCCAAGTGGGCTTACTGTGAGGATTTCTTTCACAATTTTAAGTTTAAGTTATTGTATAAGCAATAATAAAAAGAGGAAAGAAAAGTCTCCCAGACATATATGACAATTATGGGTTTTTTTCCATGTTCTCATCCAGTCCTTCTCTACATAACAAAGCTATAATGTACTTGTTGCTCTTTCTCTGATGCAACTGTATCACATTAGTTCCTACTCCTTTCTTGGTTAGAGTTAGCTCTTTCCTGAAAAGCTTGTCTTAACCCATCATTTCTATAAAGAGCAACCAGTGACAAGATGGTCTAATTCTTTATTCGGATCTCAAAGGACAATGTTAAGCATTATAAAACTTGGAAATAATAATTTAAAACAAAGACATATTCTCTAAAATTGAAATTGAGCCAATGAATAGTTCTGAATATCAACATTTATTATTATTATTATTTATTGTTATTACTAAGAAAATTATCCCAAAGCATTAAGCATGATGCCAATCAACAAGTGCATGTTCTCTCCCCTGCCTATATATCAATTTCATAACACATATCTTCTTCAAAAAATATCAGCCAAGTATATTAATAAAAAGTTTGTAATAACATGACAAAAATTTGGTACAATAATATGTGGGAAGGAAAGAGGTGCAAAATACATACTCTACACATGGCTATAAAGCAATAATCACAAAATAAAAGTAGAAAAAAATAAAACAGAAATAAATCCAAGTCTTAATAAAAGTTATTTCTGTAGAGCTATAGATGATTCTCTATATTCCTTACCCTGTATTTACTAAACTTTCCATAATGAGCTGATATTTTTATATTTTTAAACCTTTTTCTTTAAATACAGATTGCATAAAACCCCAGTGTCTTTTCTCCAGCTTTACTCTTACTTATTATTATCCTACTAGATTTTCAGTCACAAAGGGAGAAATAAATATAGCTAACATGTGACTGCCTGCTCTGTGGTCAGTCAAGGGTTGGGCCTGCATTATTCCCTTAAATTTTAGGAGAACTTTTTACAAATGTACTGTTATTATTGCCATCAAGGAAACAGAGGCTTAGTGAGGTTATAACTGGCCCCACATAAGTTAGTAAATGATGGCACTGAGGTGCAACCCATTCTGTCCAACTTAAATGCCTTCTGTAACAAGCTCTAGAGTAAGTATTCCATCAATGCTTTTGATAAAAGTCTGTGATCCATTAGAACAGGATTTGCAGAGGGAAATGTACTTGAGAGACCCCTTATAACATTTGGACAAATATGGGAAAAGGCATCATCTTATCTAAAAGAAAGGGATTTAATAGTTTCCTAACAGAAACAAGATAAACGTAAAAATTGTTAGTAAAGGCAAGACTTTTCCCAAGGAATCCCAGAAAATTGGTTTACCTTGGGTCAGAGTTATGTGACTTGATGCTAATTCAGTGAGGGATGCGGACAGCCAGAATAAAGAGAGAAAGAAAAGGACTTACAGGTCAGAGAAATAAAGGCTTCTTTCAGCTCAAAATCCCTTTCCTTTCAATTCCAGGGGTCCTCAACCCCCAGAACATCACGACTCATGCTCACGCCTCTGGTTGCCCTTCCCCAGCAGAGGTCAGGGGAGCCATGGGGAACCACACCACTGTCACCGAGTTCGTCCTGCTGGGGCTCTCAGATGCCTGTGAGCTGCAGATGCTCATCTTCCTGGGGCTCCTCCTGACCTACCTCCTCACTCTGCTGGGGAATCTCCTCATTGTGGTCATCACCCTTATGGACAGGCGCCTCCACACCCCCATGTACTACTTCCTTCGCAACTTTGCTGTCCTGGAGATCTGGTTCACCTCGGTCATCTTCCCCAAGATGCTGACCAACATCCTGAGTGGATACAAGACCATCTCCCTAGCAGGCTGTTTCCTACAGAGTTTCCTCTATTTCTTCCTGGGCACCACGGAGTTCTTCCTACTGGCGGTGATGTCCTTTGACAGGTATGTGGCCATATGTAATCCCTTACGTTATGCTACCATCATGAGTAAAAGGGTCTGCATCCAGCTAGTTCTTTGCTCATGGACAGCGGGATTCATTCTCATCATAGGTCCAAGTTTAATCATATTTCAGCAGCCATTCTGTGGCCCCAATATCATTAATCATTTCTTCTGTGACAACTTTCCACTCCTCAAACTCATATGTGCAGACACAAGTCTGATAGAGCTTCTGGGTTTTATTGTGGCCAACTTCAATTTGCTGGGTACGTTGTGTGTGACGGCCACCTGCTATGGCCACATCCTACACAGCATCCTGCGTATCCCCTCAGCCAGGGAGAGGCAGAAGGCCTTCTCAACCTGCTCCTCCCACATCATCGTCGTGTCTCTTTTCTATGGCAGCTGCATCTTCATGTATGTCCGGTCAGGCAAGGGTGACCAAGGGAAGGACAGGAATAAGGTGGTGGCCTTGCTCAACACTGTGGTGACCCCGATGCTCAATCCCTTCATCTACACACTGAGGAACAAACAGGTGAAGCGGGTGTTTAGCGAGAAAATGAGCAAGCTCCTCTCATAAAGATGACCCTAAGAGAGGGGGAAGTGCCTTCTTCCCTGAACCTCTGCAAATGCAGCTCCTGTCCTGATCTCCAAGAACTACCTCCTCCTAGACAGTTTTTCAGTATGTGCTCTAATCTACAGTAATTTCTTAATGGATCATTATTGGCTCCATTCATATGCTGTCTTCTCAGAAAGTACAGAAAATTCCATATGCCACTCCTATGTCTGGTATGTCTTAATGTTTCTTACTCTAGCCTGTGTCTGAGTTTCTTAATCTTGACTCTTTCAAGTTATAATGATAAACCTAGCATAACATCTGCCCTAGAACTTTTCAAAATTGATAAAAAATATCCTCAACAAGAATGTATTCATGATGGACTTCAGAAATATTATATGTAGGGAAAATTAATGAGGTGGAATAACCAAGAAATGTTGAACAAAAACAAAATCTCAGATATTAAAACACTAAGTGAAGAGCTAACAAATAGAACAATGGAAAGGAGTAGATAGTCTGGAAAGATAATGCAGTACATATAAGGATCTAATAGATAAGTGAAGTAAATTTTTAAACAGTAAAGAGAAGAAGGTAAATTCAATAAATGATGCCAAGACTCTTGGCTAATTACAGCAGAAGACTACCTTTCAAAGAGATTGGAACTAGTATTTGGATGGTTATTGGGGGTAGGAAGGGGGTTAAAGCACATGCCTTAAATATTTATTTGAAAGGAAAACCTATAGACAAATATTTATTCACTGATCTATTAAATTCCTTTTCATTGAGAATGAATGTGATGATTGTTGTAGTTTTTCTTGTTTAAACCACAATTGCAATGTATCCTTTGTAATTTTCAGAACTTGTTTCAGCAGTATAAAAATTTTATATTTAAAAAACCATCTGTGATAGGATTCTAGAATTTTCACTTTGTGTTTATACATTTGCCACTCTCCACAGTTCTTGTCCTCACTTAAATCAATGAAAAAATATTTCATTATCTGGCTTTATGGATCATAATCTATTAAAAGAAACCAACTTATTTTTCATAGGAACAGCTTTGTTTTTACACTCATATTTCATTGGTTTATCTTCAGTTAAAATGTGTGATTACAATAACTAGTCCAAATACCAAACTGAGGTTTGTAAATAAACAACTGATTCTTAGTACAAGCCAACTGGTGGGGGAAAAAATATGCATGGGTGTGAGAGAAGTCTACAAGGTGCAAACTAGTAGCTGCAAGGCATACTGAAAATCAAACATTTTCAGAGGCAGTATAACAGATTGAGAATAGCTTCTGATAGCCAACTACCTAGGTTCAGATCCCAGATGCCTATTAGCCATTTGATCTTGAGCAATACCTCTTTGTATGTATATGGAGATAATAATAGTATTTACCTTATAGAATCCTTATAAATATTAATGCATTAATGTATGTTAGAATGATACCACAGGGGCTTGGTACAGAATTAAATACCATGTTAAGTGTCAAGTATTATGTTTTACTGAAGGAGTAAGTTGAATAAATGAAGATAAATTAAGAGATCATCTAGGATCTTGGAAAAAAGTCAAGTTAGATCTTTACTTCATGTCTTAAACTGAAATAAGATCAGAATGAATTAAATAAATAAATATAAAAAATAAACAAAATTTTATTTTTATGATAACATTTTAAAAGTTATGTACAAATTATCTTGTTAGAGATGTGTACGGATATTTTTAATTGAAAACAAAAATAAATTTATAAATTTGGTTATATAAAATTCTTAGACTTTCTTTGTGTTAGGAAAAAAAAACACCACATAAATGATGTAATCCCCATATGTACCTTCTACCTACCTGGCATCCATTTCCCATTCTTAAATTAATAGGACCCTGACTTTTCTAATGAAAGCCCCTTTCCATTTTCAGTCCATGTAACTAGGGTGGGGCTACCTTCATCCCTAACCAGTCAGAGAATGGCTACACAATTGAAATAAGTCCAGTGAAACCAAAAGAGTCTCAATTCAGAGATACTCATGAGAACTAATGAAAGAGAGACTCTCTGCTGTACTTGAAGCTGGGAGAATGTAGGATGCAAATTACCAATAACAGGAATAAGAGAATGGACATCACTATGGATTCTATAGGCATCAAAAGGTAATAAGGGGACATTATGAACAACTCTGTCAATTTATTTAACAGATGAAATGGATAAGTTTCTTGAAAGACACAAACTACCAAAACTTATCCAAAATAAAGTAGATACTTTCAATTCCCTATATCTTTTAAAGAAATTTCATTTGTAGCTTAAAAACCTCCCCAAAAAGAAAAGTGCAGGTTCAGATGGCTTCATTGAGTAACTCTATACAAGAAAATACCAATGCTACATGAGAAAACAGAAGAGGAAGAAACATTTCCCAAATTAACCTCTGAGGCTGGCATTACCCTGATACCTCAATCAGATAAATACATTACAAAAAAAGAAAGTTACAAATACCCTCAGTAACACAGATGAAAAAATTCTTACCAAAACTTTAGCAGATTATTCCAACAATACAGTAAAAAGATAATACATCCTTAGCCAAGTGGAGGTCATCCCAAAAATACAAGATTGATTCAACATTCAAAAATCAATCACATGTATTCATGATAGTAACAGAATAAAGGAGAAAACCATATGATTATCTCAATATATACAGAAAAAGCATTTGAGAAAATTCAACACACATTCATGATTTTTTTTAACTGCTTAGCAAGCTAAGATAGAAGAGAATTTCCTCAAGCTGATAAAGGGTACATTTGAAAAACCTATAGTAAACATCATACTAAATGATGAAAGACTGAATACTTTCCCCCTAAGTCTAGGAACAAGACTTTTACAACTTCTATTCAACACTGTACTAGAGGATTCTAGCCAATTCAATATGTAAGAATAAGAAATAAAAAGCCTATAGATGTTTTATGGTGATAGGATACTGAATTTTGTCAAATGCTTTACCTGCATATATTGAGATGATATATGATTTTAATCCTTCATAGTACTAGAAGTCCTAGCCACAGCACTCAGACAAGGAAAAGAGATAAAAGGCGTCTAAATTGTAAAGAAAGAAGTAAAACTATCTCTATTTGCAGATGACATATTATATATGGAGAATCCTAAAGATGCCACCAAAAAACTGGTTGAACTAATAAAAGCATTCAGTAATGTTCATGATGCAAAATCTATGTACAAAAATATTGCATTTCTATGCACTAACAGTGAACTATCAGAAAGAAAAATTAATAAAACCTATTTACAATGGCATCAAAAAGAATAAATTACTTAGGAATATATTTAATCAAGGAGGTAAGAGATTTGTACTGAAAACTATAAGACATTGATGAACAAAACTGTAGAACACACAAATAAATAGAAAGACAGCCTGTGCTCATGGATTGGGAGAATTAATATTATTAAAATGTCCATACTACCCAAAGCAATATACAGATTCAATGCAATCACTATCAAAATAATAATGGCATTTTTTGCAGAAATAGATAAAACAATCCTAAGATTTATATGGAACCACAAATGACCTGAAGAGCCAAAGCAATCTTGAGAAAGGAAAACAAAGTGGAAGCATCATTCTTCCTGACTGCAAACTATATTACAAAGCTGTTTTAGTAATTAAAACAGTGGAAGCATCATTCTTCCTGACTGCAAACTATATTACAAAGCTGTTTTAGTAATTAAAACAGTATTGTATTGGCATAAAAACTGATGCATAGATCAACATAACAGATTAAAGGGCCCAGAGATAAACCCATGCACATATGGTCAATTTTCAACAAAAGAAACAAGAATATACAATAAGGAAAGGAGAATCTCTTCAATATATATTGAGAAAACAGGACATCCACATGCAAAATAATGAAACTATACCGCTATTTTATACCACTTACAAAAATCATCTCAAAATGGATTAAGCATTGAACATAGACCTGAGACATAAAATTCCTAGAAGAAAACACAGGGATTAAGCTCCTTGACAATGATTTTTTGGATATGATGCCAAAAGCAAAAATAAGCAAATGGGACTATATCAAACTAAAAAGCATCTACATAGCAAAGGAAACCATCACCAAAATGAAAAATCAAACTATAGAAACAGAGAAAATATTTGCAAACCACATATCCTGTAAGAGATTAATATACAAAATATGCAAATAACTCATACAACTCAGTAGCAAAAAAACAAAGAACCCAATTAGGGAATGGGCAAAAGATCTGAATAGACATTTTTCCAAAGACATACAAAGGGCCAACATGCACATGAAAAGGTTATCAGTGCCTTAATCATCATGGAAATGTAAATTAAAACCACAGTGAGTTATCATCTCACACGTTTGGATGTGTATTATCAAAAAGACAAGAGCTAACAAATGCTGGTGAAGATATGGAGAAAAGAGGACAATTGTACACTGTTGATGGGAGTGTAAACTGGTAGAGTCATTATAGAAAACAGTATGGAAATTCCTCAAGAAATGAAAAAAGAAGTACTAGAAGAGCCAGCAATCCTTCTTCTGGGTATATATCTAAAGAAAACAAAATCATTATCTTGAAGAGGTATCTGTACTCCCATGCTCAATTCAGCACTATTCACAATAGCCAAGGTATAGAAACAACCTAAGTGTCCATTGACAGATGAATGAATAAAGAAAATATGGTGTATATATAAACAATGGAAAATTATTCAGCCTTTAAAAAGAAGGAAATCCTGTCATTTGTGACAATATGGATTAACCTGAGATCATTATACTAAGTAAAATAAGCCAAATAGAGAAAGGTAAATATTGCATGAGATCACTTATATGTGGAAATAAAATTTTTTTAATTTGAACTAATAGAAACAAATAGTAGAAAAGTGGTTGCCAGGGGCTGGGGGTGAGGGAAATAGAGTTTGGTACAAGGGTACAAACTTTCATTTATAAGATGAATAATGTCTGAAGATCTAATGTATAATGTGGTAACTATTGTTTGTAATGCTGTATTGTATAATTGAAA